GTACTTTTCCGGAAACCAGTCAATTAATTGGCAATGTTTGGCAACGCAAACGTAGGATGCCAGTAAGACAGCAGTACCTATTGCGCAATAGATTTTCCCGCACATTATGTCGATTTCAAAAACACCTTACACCTAAAAGTTGTTAAAAGTATGTCGGGTTCGCTTTGCGCTGCCACCAGTGTAGCGTCCCGAAGCTTCCCAACTGGTAGTAGAAGGCATAAGTGGGGTTGAATACATGTATTCCGAAGAGGACAGGGCAATTGGACCTGTAAGTGGCCCGAAGGCCAGCCCACGTGTACAGCGGCCAGGAAAATTCTAGTTACCGCTAAACGTCAGTTGGTCACATAAACAAAGCATTAAGTATCGACTTTAATATCAAAAGACGTCCTTAAACGGTGATAAATGCGTGTGTTTAAGTCAGATGGGAGAGTTTGTATAACACCTTCCCGACCCCCTTTGACCTTCATCCCATGCCTCTTAGGAGGAGATTGACTTTAAGGAGGTTCCTCCATAGTTATACTCAAGTAGGGTGGAAGTATGTGTAGGTTACCAGGGCTAATCCAGGAAGGTTCTCGCACTCAACCTGCACGACGCGCGAGCTGGATTCTCAACCCCCTCCTCCCCAAAAAAACGCTAATTCAACAACCAGTATTTGTGGAGTTCTAACGGTCCCCACTGGGTAGAAAAGACATTAATTCGATCTGAACACGTATTCTGGACGCATAAGAATGGATCTAACTTTGACGTAGCCCGAAGGTCACGTCACGAAAACAAGAGCGAGCCGGATACCAAAGTCACTGCTAGTTGAATAGCCTATTATACTTCCCATACCTTTGTCTGAACGACGTCCTCAACGCTCCCCTCGATAAACCTTCTGAGATAGCCATCACGGCGTATCCGATGCTACTGGGAAACACCCACAAGCCACCCGCCCCAGTCACCAACTACCATGAGAATAAGGAAATGTACTTAGTCTCTTCATAAGCTTCAAATGAATCTGGAACTACAATCAGTCGGAGCGCAAGAATTGTCAAGGAAAATTTCTGCTGACCATCAGTCGTGTTCAGGATTCGATGTTGGCATACTAGTGTAAAACAGGCGTTTAGCAGGGAAAACGGCAGCAAGTCCACCTTCAATGTCAACTTTCATTCTTATGAGCGCTCTTAATAATACAGAGCAAATTAATAAACATTCATCGCAGGGTATATTTTAAACCTCATGTTATCAATGGCAAGTGTCAAGTTAATGTATCGAAATTGTTCTGATGTGAATTAGGCGCTTACGATTCCTATTTCCATATAAACAACGTGGATTGTGAAACCGAATCCGACTTCGAGTCATCCCAAAGTCTTACCTCTACCCTTTTTGCGTATAGGTATTCAGCCAAGTCTTACGCTTATTGCTACTAAGTAGGAAGTTCCAGGACTTTGCATGGACAGCTATGAAATAAACTTCCTCTGATTGTTTAGTTTTTAGGCTGCCACACTCCGATCGGCAAAATTATAAGCCACTGCCACCAGTACATTAGGTCGTCATGGTCGTCAGCCATTTGCGGTAAAATCAGTGGTGAACCAAAAAGATCATAACGTTTATCCACTTTGGTTCATCTTGCATTTACAGTCGCGTCGCATGTCTTATTGAGTTGTGGTAACCTGAGCCATCGTTATAATGCATATCATAATGGCACCCAAAAGGAAGACTAGGTTTACGCAGACGTACAATGGCCTCTTGCTCCCTGGCATAAAATATCTTACGTCGTGACGTCATGATAGGAATGCAAAACACAAGCATAAACAAATATCAAAATAAAAGGATTTCACTGCATAAAAGCCATATATGCGGTGTAGTCGCATTGACCTTCCCTTAACGTATAGCATTAGTTCGCTGAAAATGCTTTAATGAATCCTACGGATGCCATCATGGACGTCTTGCGCCGAGTCATCACACCACCAGGTAATTTGATCAGATGCAATAATTCTGTATAAAAAACTCCACTTTTGGTTAGCCAAAATACCATAGAAAAGGAAATGTTCTGCTTCATACTGGTTAGATTGACAAATAAGTTGCGCAACCTATGCCTGTTTACCAGATACATGTTTTTGAATTTCTGCACCCATCTCTCACTCTCATTCAGGACAACTGCATTACCTGTGTATCAATCCGGTTGTTGTTAGAGACCATGCACAAATCGTCACAAGTGGTGTGAAGTAATTTACAAATTAACAAGTTTCAAAATTGCAAATTCTCCTATGAGAAACCACCTTTTCCATTCACTTATGAGATGCTAACCATTACTCGAAGATAATAGCAATTACGATGAACAAAGCAAGTTCGGAGTTTGTGATTGCTAATTTGGCTATGATGACTCTAAAAATCATTTTGGCGCACGTAAGTACTATCCGTGCCACACATCCGAAAATCATTTCTGTCACGATATCTGAACTTCTGATGGGAGACCTGTTTTTCTTACCCATCTCCGAAACTACAGATCCTAAGTCTTCATCTTCAATAAAAAGCATGAACGAATTAAATTCAGTAGTTTTGGCTGCAAATGAGGCAAAAGGTGACGAGGAACATCCCTTCAAGGTTGAAACATCCTGCATTCTATTTTCGTTTTGGATTCGCCCGCATCAACTTCACAGCATCATGGGAACAAAATTGTGGTCCCCAAGGGTTTCAAGGCATGTACTCCCTGTCCTACGTCGGTCAATCCATAGTGCATCAGACTGGCAAACCTGTTTCTTTAAATTTACAACGACTTACGATTCAACGTGTAAAAATTCTAGGACTGTGGTTTTAGTCCACAGGTTATACACACTAAACCACTCGAAGTGTACCTCAAACAACGTTTCCTACTGAGTGAACAAGAAAATCTTTCCGAAATTGAGAGCCCAGCGACGAAAAATTCACCCAATTCAAGAGAACAACCAAAATAGTCCAAGACTAATAAGAATTGTTTCGGGAGACACATAATTTACGTGGTTCCAATGGATCGTGAGACCTAGGCTCCGGAAAACTGCTACAGTTGTCTGTGAAAAAACCGCAATAATAAAACCGAAAGTGTTATTCTAAGGTTTGCACTAAACTACCGCTCACAACGGTTAATTGATTAAATGCAAGATACGTATTATAAATAATAATTTTGATACAAAAGGCAACCATTTTTACAAACCCAGACCTCGACATACGATAATTATGGCTTAACCATCCCGATGGTCCATTAGGGTGTAGGAAGCTCCCACGAGTTTCGATGATTCCGGTTGTTCGTAAACAAATGTTGGTTGAGAGGAAGCACTAGAAAACAGTAATAGGTAGTAACACGATCTTGTGCGTTTGGTTCGTAAAGCAAATCACTACAATTCATCGAAAAGGGGATGAAGCGAACCAGTGTGCGCCAATGGAAATCGAAATGATTCAAATGTAAGAAGTGAAAATCTTACGTTCTCCGATAATGCATCCGAACAAATCAATGGAACCCACTAGTCATGGCTTATGACAGCTCCTCGACGAGGAGCTTCAATTAAAAGGCTTCACTGCAAAAGGAATGAGAGTTAAACTCAACAAACTTCTTTGCACACCAACACTTAGACGAATAACCGACTGAGTACAATTTCGATTTTAAGATGAGGTGCCACATCTAGTGAACCCGTACCTGCCAACTTGTCCTAACGATATTGATGATTCGAAAGCAGGAGTAAGTCGGAGTTCAGGCGCTTGGTTGACCGAAAGGCATTCCATCGGCTCATTTTCTTCGACTTTCGTCTCAGTCATATCTTTGTCATCGAAATTACTGCTGATGGGAGAATCGGAGGCTGGGATGGGGGGCAGTGTAGGACGGGGGACATACGGCACCAGGGCAAGGCAGGCTTTGGGACTAAAGCTAAAACGAAATACAGAAGTCCGTTTGGGTTAGTATTAAAATTACCCATTATTAGCACCAGTTATGAATGAATTCCAAAAGTGGAACAAATGCTGGGCGCCTATACTTTTGCTAAATCATATATTAGTAAACTGCGAAGGATTAAACAAATGCGAAAAATCGGAAGTCATACAGATTATATGGCTTAGCAATGAAATTATAAATGCTCTTAGTCAGCACCACAAGAGCACAAAAATTGTCAAAATAATTAACATCATGACCCTAAACCCTGATTCATGGGTAAGAATGTGAAAATAACAAGAATGTGCAATCAAGAGAGGAACCTACCCAAGCTATGGTCAGAGTGAACGTCAAACCTTCAGTCGTGGCTGATTCATAACATAGTTAAGTAAACCATCGCATCAAATGCTTTTGAAAGTACATTTGAAGACAAACTGCTTGAAATCCGTTGAACAACAAATAGACACTAACGTACATTTTTTGAAGATATGAATCTGGAAAGCTTCCAACGGTGCCAAGTTGTCGATACCCTTGCCGTAATTCCTCCGGGAGTAGGAGGCTGTTTCAAAAAAAGTTTCGCTTTTAGAAAAAATGAAGTTGCAAACAAAGGCCACGAGCTGCGACAGTCAAATTAGCTTATTCATCAGAGCATAGCTATTTAAAGGAAAGCAGAGGCCAATTAATCAGCTGTAAGAATGCAAACAGAAAGTGTAAATACGTCCGACAACCCTCGCCAGTGGTTAAAATATCTAAGAAATTATTTGTCACAAACCCAACATAGAAAAGCGTCAGCGTAGAAGTCGCATACCCTTTCTCTTCATCACATTCATCATCGGATTCATCGGATGTTTCCTCAACGGACACCATTTCCACCTCATTGTACTTGATGCCAGAATGCTGGGAAATATTTAAATTAGAAAGTCCCCTCGAAATCGCTTCTTCTGACGCAGGCCTCTTTTGTGGAACGTACACGCCTTCGAAAAAATCGGGCTGATCGCTACAAATAACAGTTCAAGATTTGGTGACATAGTTTTTCAATTCATAGTTAACATTAAGCTGTTCTGGCATACCCCTAGTTGATCCAACGTACTTGTTAAGTACAAAGCTGGAAAGTACAGATAACACGTTAAAAGAAGCTACACATCATGCTGATTTTCTCGCATGGGACAATTTCAACAGACACCTATCTATAAACCACGACATGGTAATTCTGCACAATGACAAACTTCAAGGAGAATGAAAAAGCCTGTTTCGCCAAAACATACAAATGACGTTTCCTGGAGCAGGAGTTTTCAGGGACCAACTTCATATGTAAGTCAGTTGGTGCCGTATTTCCAGTGCTTTTGGTCCCGAAACAGTCATGTACAGGATGCTGTTGAGAAGAATAGGCTTCAAAACGAGAACCACCAAATGCACAGCCAAAATTACTGTAATCCTCCATTGTTATGCGACAAACAGGACGGCAACCATCATCAATCAAACTCGACAGATCTACCAGACACCAAAGCAGTTCAAACGCAATGAAATTTTAGCAAAGATATAAACAAACTACAGCGTTGATTCCATTGCGTATTTTACGACTAGTTGAGCAGGACCTTTGTGCATAAAAATGTTAGCTTGGAATTCAACGTAATATTAAGCACATATGAAAGTAAAATTTGTGTAAAATATTTTCTTTACAAGCTTGGATAGTTCTAGGATAGTGCAACACATACAAATTATGTGACAATATTTTTACATCCTAAAAAGGTATTGATTTACCACGATTACATTTAAATGATACTTTATGGTTTCTGTTTTGAGGCTGATTACACATCGAAATATTGTGCGGTGTAAGTATTACTGTATTTAAAATGGCAAAGGAATTGGAAATAAGAGGTTCGAACTCATTCACTGGCCTCAGTCCCAGTATATTTTATTTTGGTCAAGGTCACGTGACTGGTTAGTGTGTGACTTTGCTGACAATGGTGATAGCTCTACGTTGGGGGACTGCCCTTGTGATTTCTGTCGCACTCTGGTTTGGTGCCTTATATGCTCCAGTTAGCCGACCCCATTACTTGGATCTCATAATATTGTACTCACCTGTTGTCGCTGTTATCCTCTTCGGGATGTTCTCAATCTTCTTCGTAGTGTATGGTGTGCTGACGTTCAACGATTGTCCTGGCGAGGATGAAAAATTAAAGCAACAGATCAATGAAGCTAAAAGAAACCTACAAAAATCTGGCTTTGAATTTTAGTTCGGGACCGTCTACTGACCCATGCTTTTGTAGACATAAGCTCTCATTCTGCTATCCGTTTCGGCCTCTCATTTTGCAATATTGGCTGTACGTGCTAAATGTTTCTCCCCGATATTAATGAGGTTGTAGCATTTGGTGCGGATTTCCTTCCTCTGTAATGTTTACGCGTCTCCACTATTTTGTAACTTTTTATGAAGCACGCGTATTAGTCTTTCTTTATGTGTCATTTCCCCATCATCATTCTTAACAGTCCGAAGATCCGGCGCATACAGTCCAGATTTTTGGTCAAAATTGGACGAGTTACGCCCTTCTAGGGTTTCTTTCGAGGTGTTTTGGGTTGTCTTCACGGAATCCATACATGATCAATAAGTCTCGAGTCATATTTGGGTTCAGGTTTAAGTCTAGCTCATCCTTAACCAATTTGGTGACACGGTGGAGGCATATTTTAGCGCTCTTTTTTTGAACGCACCGGTATGTGTTTGTGCATGCAAATATCTTAGCACGATGCATGACATGCATGGCGATACATAATTTTTCCATTCTACAAAAACTAGTTTTTGTTGGTCTTCCCAAAACCTTTTTAAGAAATGCGGTGTGCGATGACACATTGGGTAGCATCAATGGGACTTCAGTCTAGTACTCGAAGGGTATTACTACCTCATTATCTGAGACTGTAAACAATCTAAGTCAATGACATGCAGGATGTGGAACGGTTTGATTCACCTCAGCCTGATTCTAGATCGTCAAGACCATGGCTGTTTGTGAAACTGACGGTTAACGTTCATGGGTTTTTGTTTAATGGCTGAGAGAACAACTGGTCTATAAAACAAAGGAACATCGCAGTCAGTGGGCTTCGGAGCACTTGCATAATCACTTTAATATAGCGAGACGTCAGAGGAACACCTAGCTTTGGCCAGAACTGGAGCTACTTTTAGTCCGAACGGGAACCAACACACTTCTCCGTGGAAAGAAGTTTAGCGTAGTTTTTTCATCTAAACTGATGCACAAATTCGGTAAGGCGGATTACGAGGCTACACTTTCGGATGGTTCATGGCAGTATAGCTTCAGCCGTTAACAGCTTGTCTATGCATCATGGCGATGGGATGAAGGTAAGCACCATTCTGGTGTGGCGGTGTTAGAGATTTTCGACGCGGAATGTACGCCCTTCATTTGCGGAACAGAAGTTTGGCGCAAACAGAGGAAACACAGACAGGTCTAACAGTGTCGGGTCCGCCTCCTGAGACAATGGCAGTAATGTCGCAAGACATTCCATTTTGTAGAAGACAATACTTGGAGCTGAGTGCATGCATTCGCTGAGAAAGAGGGAGATGGGGTCTTAGTTTGGGCAGGACGTTGTCGGAATCAAATGAAGGTTATAGAGTCACCTGAGTGATCGAGAAACATGTAAGTAGTCAGACGAATAGAGCGCTGCAATGCTTTGCTCATGTGGTCACTTGATGTCTGGGGGTGACAATGGTTTTAGGTCCTGCTCCTGTACTCGTGGACTGGATTTTGGGCCAATCCAAGGTTCACTCCCTTCCAATCCTCCCAATGTATATGTGCATTCAACCCGGCTTAATGCCTTCTTTAACCTAGTGGGAAGTGTGGGAACTACATTGATGGTGGCGAAAGCAAACTCTACTATTTTTAACAACTCCTATCATAGTGTCCCTCTCCTGTGACGCGCACCTATAGTGTACGGGAAGTGTATATATTTCAGGGGGAGATTCTCAGAATTGTACGGGAGAAGGACCGAGAGCGATGCCTGCGTTTTGCTCCATCTTGGCGTTGTGTTCCGCAGACCACTGACAATTGAGGCGATGCCGCCATGAACCATCCGGGACAGTTTCGCATCGGAGATCCTCTTGCTTCATCCGAGTATAGATGCTGGAGATGACACTGTAGCATTCCGAGACTTCTCATAGGGTGGAATAAGGCAGTGAGGCTGGGTACATGTACTCCGAAGAGAACAGAGCAAATGGGTCTGAGCGTGCCCGATTGCCAGACAAATCCTGAAATGGCTGCCGGACGTCAGGCGGTCGCATAAACAAAGCATTACAGACACTGCTGTGGATCGTCTTATATACGGGACCGTGAGCGAATCCGTGGTCCCCGTTACACACATTTTTGACCAGTATTTGAGCGTCTAGCTCTGAAAGCCAATGATGATCAACAGATGTATGAGGCCCTGATACCTGCATTTAAACCGAACATGACTCCGGATTCAATTGAGGCTACTGAAAAGGCCAGATGCAATCCCTCATTCCCATGATAGCTGACAACTGGAACAGTAGGCTCATGAGTGCTTTCATTTAGTGCCAAATATGTTGTGGTGACAGGAGGGAGAGATGTGCGTAGGGGAACGCAGAGGATGTTGATAAAAATAAGGTGGGACAATGCGATGCCTTGTATATGCAACCATCTGTAGGTCTGGCGGTGAATTTCGTACTCTTCCTGCTCTTGTGCCCATGGGCTGGCCTTCGAGCCATATTAAGGTCAAACCTCTTCTTACCTTCGTTGATAACGTGTCTCCAGCTCAAAATAAACTTTTTTCCTCCTAGAAGATGGCCCTGGGTCTTCGAAGATTCGGCTTGGAATGCTTGATAATAAGCCTGTGAAAGCAAAGTATAACTTGTTTGCAGTTGGCTGAGTGTGCTATTGAATTCGAAGAACATTACTGTCACTGAATAATAGCAAAAAAATCGATGCATTAGTTCTAGTCAATGATTGTTTGATTGGGGTGGTTAGACTTATAACTGCGATTTTGCCACTTCCAGCCCGTTTGTTTGAGCTCATTCATTTGGTACGTCTTATTGTCGGGTTCAGGAAGTTAGTCGTTGTGCAGGTAGTTCGTTATGGTATTTGAGTGCAATAGTGTGAGGTCTTTGTACACGCAAGTGGCTGATATAGTTTTTCTCACTAGTGATGTGGCACACTTTGTTTTAAACTACTTAATCACCTGAGTATTCAGTAACTTTTGACTCTATAATGTGCCCTTGTTCGTATATTCTCAAGTCATTTATTTTTCTCTGAAAATTGTTGGATTCAGTAGGGTAAGATGTCTTGACATTGCGACCTTGAGTTAAGGAGTCATCCTCTTACCGTTATGCTTTCTTGAGAATTCCATTGTCGTTAATGGTTTACCTCGTTGAATTGCTTTGACTGGTTTTAATCGGGAATATATTGCGACTTGTGCTCGAGACTGGGACTTTTATTGTGCTTTTGAGATTTTCTGGGACTTCGAGGTTCCGTTGCTGATTTTTCAAGTGGTTGCGTGCACTTTTAGTCACTTTGACGTATTTATTGTGACTTGAGCTTATTATCTTTACTAATAGTTAGTACATTTTCGACGAAAGCTTTCTTACAACACGCATATTATATAGTTTTATCGTATATTGGCATACTTGATGAAGATTAATTTACTACACTACCTTAGTTTTACGTTTAGTTCCATTTTGGCGCAGTCAATCATGCAGGTTTTATCCCGATAATTATGCAGGCATGTTTGTCAAAGAGAATTTAAGTGGCTGTATAAATTTATTTAGCTGAGGCGTTTGTTTTTATTAACTGGACCCCTTTTCTCTTGTGGATAACAATTTGCGACGAACATTTTTGTGCTCGTTAGTCAGATTGGAATGCCAGACCCTGAGTGGCCATAGATAAAGGTTGCTTTCGCGCTTTTTAGCATGTTGACAGCCGTCTCCGATAAGCTCGCAAAATGTTCAATTGTATTGGCAAGTACTTCTCCCCGTCGCAAAGAAATCCTCTCTGCTTGCGTTCGTTTCCGTCATATCCTCTTCAATACTGTTTAGAACCTCAACTTCACTGCACTTAATCCAAATGTCCCTGAGAATCTTGATCCACGCGACTTCCCCAACATCCCAGCCTTTGTCGAAGCTATTGCCACAAACAAGGTCAAGGGCGCTTTGAAGATTCTTAAGGAGGTAACACTTGTATTCTCTTACCATTTAGCATGCTGACATAATTATAGCCGCAGACACTGTTGTCGCTTTCAAAGGCAAGATAATGGGCAAGCCTCTGAATCCAGATGATGCCGCTAACACTTTAAAAATGTATGCCTTATTGATTTCGAGGGGTCCGCTAGGTTATCGGATCAGGTTCATGAAGTGCACACCGGGGTGTGTGTCGCTTGGATGCGTAAAGAGCCGCAATTTTGTTGCTTCAGTGAGCGAACGAAAGTCCATATGGCAAAATTAGACCAGGACACGATCAACAGCTACGTTAAGACTGGCGAACCTCTGTAAGATCCTATAAACTGACGTAGATTGTGGGTACCTCGCTCTGATGTCATGATTTTGTGCAACTGCTCACTCTCATCATATGCTCAATTTTATGTTCATCAGGATCTGTAGGAGACCTACAAACATTTTACAAACTACCTGTTTATGCTTTTTTATGATGGAACAAAGCTTTTATTTGCACATCTGTTAGTTACTTTAACAGGGCAAACTCTAACCTGTTCATGGAACTGGTATCTTGGTTACTCATCATGAGGCCTCCTTAATGCGTCCTCATTTAGGGTATTTCGCTTTGGATTTTGATTGAGACTTTTGTTTTCGTATTTCTATTATTCTAGTGACAAAGCTGGCAGTTACGGTATCCAAGGTATTGGTTGCAGCCTGATCTGTGGGATCGAAGGTGACTATTTTAACGTTGTCGGTCTACCTATTCACAAAGTTTGCCAACACTTATATGAAAAACTAATTAATGATGCCTAAAATAATGATGTTTTGTAGTGTGTTTGTAACGTCTGGTCTTTGGCTTCATTCGGAAATAAATTGCTTTTGATCGTAAATTGTCTATTGCGTTTTCTGAGTGATGCGATGCTCGACATAACAGAATAATTCCACTTAAAGGTTTAATGGGTCTTTTCGGTTTCAATACTCGTTGGAAGCGACTTGAATTGCTGGTTTTCAAGTCGAGTTATTCTTCTCTTTATTTTTCCCTGGCTTGCTCCGTATTCGCCCATTAGCCGAGCTAATTTAGTGCCTATCTGCTCTAGTGTTGCATCAATTCGGCTGACCCTCTCCTCTATAGTTTCTCTGTTCTCTTCGGCCCTGCGAAGGAGTTCTTCATCCAGTAAATTATCTTTCCTCAGCATCTGTTGACCGGCCTCCATGAGTTTTTCCTTCGCTTCAGGGTATTCCGTCAGGGCTTCCCATAAATCGTCTTTGCTGAGACAAAATAGATCGGAGTAGCCTACAGAGCGGACGTTTGCTGTCCGACGATTCCCCGTCTTATTGCCTATAGGTAGGAAGAATTCGAATTTTTACATAGTAAAAGGTATTTGTCGCAGAGACAGTAGTAATTTTGTAGCTTACCGGCGATATTGAGGATGGAGATCTCGCCAAACACCGTGCCCTCACCCAATGTTACAAACGTTGTTTTGCCATCATCTGCAACTACGCTTATTTTTCCTCGTTTAACAATGTACATCTCCTTCCCGATATCACCCTTGCGACAAATATAATCTCCTGGGGAAAAAATCTGGAGCTTCAGCTTCAGGACTAGTTCCACCAGCAATCCGGGATCACAATCCTTTACAGGGATGGGGAACGGGAGAAATTGAGGTATTTTTTGATATTAATTCAGCAAATAGTCTACAGGATTCATTGTCACTCTGATTAAGCATACTCTGGTAAAAGAGATGGAATAAAAGAACGAGTTCGCAGTTCCATCTATATGCGCTCTGTCAGTGTCCAATCCATTTATTGAGATTTTGGCAAGGTTTTTTATGATGGTGTTCATGAGGATCTTCAGTGTCATACTGTTTACAATCAGGAAACTTCTATGCTTTTCTTTATGTCTGGGTAATAAATTCATGCTCTCCAAGGCATTGGGGTAGGTTCGGTTGTTGGTCCTACGTAAGTCGGGTAATTAACCCTTAACTGTTAGCCTTTATTCAAAAGTCCAACTTGATGGCACTCAAGGGGCGGAATTACAGAAATGAATCACGGAAAGTGGATCACCTGTTAGTGATGCGAAAGCACTGCAATGGACTGTCGGTAATTTTACTCATGAAGAGGATTTCGTACCTGAAATATCTTGACGCGTTTGAGTGTATCGTAGTGCACATGTATGGCGATTTCAGCCTTCAGTTTATCTGGCAGAATCGCGAGAACGTTCTCCTCCTCTAGGGATTGCTTGTTCGACCAGAGGTAGTCGAACCACTGTATGACTCTACGCTCCAGATTCTTGCTCACTTTGCGATATTCCATATAGCTGGATTTAATACAGTTTTAAATAATTGATTGCAATCACACTAAGGCGATTTGCTATTTAAATGCACTCATAACAGACCTTTGATGGGATGAGTGGGTGAAAGCAGACTGATGGCAGTACAATTCGGCGTACCATGCCTAGTGATTTCCGGCACACTCCACTACACCTAATTAGGACTCATGGTCTTTAAAGGATTTGCAACATTTGTTGTCTTGATTCCTTCTGTCCTATCATGTCGGGCGATCGAGGCTTCAGGGTTGTTCCATGTTCACCATGTTTTTAAAGTACCACATTAGGTTATTCAATAAGTTGACAAAATTTTGAGTGTTAATACACTTAATTCATGTTTAACTTATGGAGCCTCAGCAATGCTTGTACCGTTTGACGCTGTCCATTTGTGCTTGGAATGCCGTCTTTTGTGCATTCATATTTGCTATCATGGCTCCAACGTTGCCAACAACCGTGGCGAAGATGAGGACACCAGCAAGGAAGTCGATGGTGATAAAAATATACTCTCCATCTCGAACTGGTTTCGGAGTCTCGCCGATTGTCGTGAGAATCAGCGTTGACCAATAGAAGCTGTAGGTGTATTGAGCGAAAATTGACTGCCATCGCTCTGTAAGATTGCAGGGTTCATCTGTGATATCGTCAGTGGAACGAGGCGGGTACACAAAGGAGTTTCCACAAAGTCCTGTTAGAGGTGAAGTGGTTTCGAACGCTTATAAATGGCGATGATTTCTCCATTTTAAACATACCGAAATTACATTAAAGGCAGTATATGCAATTCCTTATTCATCTCTCCATCCATTCACTCACAATTAATCTTTGAAAGTTGGTTGGTAGCATTTCTGATTTAGAAACAATTCCCACGCAGAGAAAAATGGAACATAAGGAGACCAGCTTGGTAAAAGTTTCACTTTCAGAGGTGTTCGAAGGTGTGAGAGCTTTATCCAAATTCGTCTCAATGTATATCAACGCCTCTATCGTTGCACAATTTAGGAATAAGAAATTATAAATAGAAACCTAAGGATCTTTGCATATCTAATCTATAAGTATGTTATGTGTCATGAAATAACCTTCGTTGCAATGAGGCTTCCTGTAGATCAAAATTTACAGTCTGAAGTGTTGTGTCCCTAATTCAGCGGGACCTATGACATTTCATGCAGGCTGGAAAGCATGAGGTCTTCCCATTGCTTTGCGTTTAAATGCACCTACGCATGTTCAGTGGTCGGTCTCGCTGATGCTCTCAAGCTTAATAATTAAATCTCGGTGATGTCAACGCCGGAAGTATTATCCTCTAGGTAATGTGGAACTATATTAGAAAGGAAGTAGCAAAGTATGGCAAATCGACCTGACCTGTTTGTGTGCTAACTTCGAAGAAGATGCAGGCATTGAAGTGGATGAGAATGAGAATGCCTGCAGTGAGGGTGATCACACGGAACATGTTTGGAAAAGAGGCTCGCGTCTCAGTACGTGCAATAAATTCAAAGACTTTGTAGGTCTTCAAGAGGCGGTTCAAGCGCAGCCAAGCCGCATAATGTGTGAAGGCCTGCGAGATGTAGAGCAGATCCGTTGGTAGAACGGCAAACACGTCCATGAGGCAATCGGATTTCTTGATGTAGGCGTTGCGTAACTTGACTACATCAGTCACTACCAAACCCTCCTCGAGATAACCTTAGGGAAGATTAATACCTCATCACTTTCTCCTAAATAAATTTGATCCAAAGTTCACAGGCTCATGGATTTTATTCAAGATAATTTGTTTTGTCTTTCATTCCTAATTTTCTTGATTTGAAGCCATTTGTTCCATTTTATTAGTCGTTTAGGTTTAAATACAAGGGGAACAGTGAATCTACGTTCCAGAAGATTGGGGCACAGGTTCAGATTTGTCCCACGAATTTGTGCAGTTTAGAACAAGAACGTCCCATTAGCTGGAGACTGTTTCTACTCCCCATCCCATAGAAGCCGATAGAAGAAAATTTGCAAAGTTTTGGAATCGCCCAACGCGCTTTCGAGGTTGAATGACTTCCGGAATAAAATTCCCAATAAATTTCTCAAAAGTTGGGTGCATTAATTTCCTCAACGCAGGGTGAGATATTTTAAATGATGCCGCTTATGCCTTTAGGTTAGATTGAACAAATTTGGACATTTAATGTGAACAAAACGATGTGATTGAAGCGAGCCAAACACCAAACTGGTGTGGTGGATGTGATTTCAACGGAACTGCCTGGAGCAGAAGCAGAAAAGCAAATGCACCTGTTCTGCAGCCAACCCATATGTCGAGGAGGTAGAGTGAGTCAATGCAGTAGTCTATGAACATCCAAACGGGAGGAGAAAGTTCGTGGAATTGCGTAAAGGCGGTGCGCATAGGAAGGATGAGGCAGTTGTAGAGAACTGTCAGTGATATCAAACCGATCCATCGGTAGTATAATTGTGATGATGTGTCCATGATGAAAGTTTGAGTCCATCTGAAAATAATATTTGTAAAACAGGAGTTAAGTGCACGAGTCTCACTCTTTCCGGACTCTCAATTTTGGCGCCACATAAAAATTAAATCTACTAATGAGCCTATCGTTTTAAAACGCCGTTTTGGCATGAAGATTTGCCAGTGATAGAACCGAAGGTCCGATGAAAATCAGAGTTTGTGTCCTCTTCAAGCTTGGATCTGTTGATGGAATTACGGTAACCACTTTGTGTGTTTAAAATGGGAAGAAAAGGTGTTAGATTAGCCGTCTGTTCCTGTCAGTCGACTCGTTGCCATAAATCTGAAGATGTTTATGCTGTCAAGGTGCGGTTATTGTAGCTCAGGTGGAAATAGCCACTTACACTTTGATTTTCCTGTACAAAGGCTGTTGTGATTCCAGCTCTTCGTCAGTGTCAATACATTCATCGGTAGGATCGTGCGCCTCTGCCGAGCTCAAAGCTAATGCATTATTCCCCTTGTGACGCTTCGTAAATTTACGTCCACCACGCCAGCGGCAACATAAACAACAATGCTACGAAGCAAAAAGAAAGCAAACCGCTAGTACAACAAGGTCTGTGCTAACTAACCATCCCATACATGTGTTGAGCTAACACGAAATAGTGCAGTCAACCTTACATAAAGCCATGAGCCATTAGCATATTTTATGCCAACTTTGCTGCAATTGGTTCACACTGCACGCCAGGATACGGACTTTGTGTTTTGGTAAGTAATGCTATAGTAAAATATCATAAGAAAGCATAAATCAAATCTGACCAGGTTTGTCTCTCAGCGCCTTTTTTTTAATTTTGGATTTATTATAAAACAAAGTAGATGAAACACCTACCTTGATCACACTTTTCCTCTCTCCACTTCCAGAAACTTCGTAGGAAGTACTCATTTTGAAACAATACTACGTACGAGATGGGAAAATCAAGTACACTGAGGCTGTTTAAACTCATATGAGGCAAGCAGTTACCACACCCAGAATATGAACATGAGGTGGTAGCCAATCACGAGGGCAAAGGAAGATTAAGCTTTTCCCTTGGCTATTCGAAAGCGTAAAAGGCGTTTCCCGTCCTCCCGTCTCCTCCCCTCATGTATAGGGACGCTAATGGGAAGTGGGTGGTTGTGTAGCCTTCGGCCACAATCAAATTTCCAAAAAATTCCCTTGTTTCTACGAGTAATCACCGTCGCTAACCGTGAGGCTCGCAATCATTTCCGAGTCAATTTCGATACTCATTCAAGTTTTAGTTTCGCAGAGGTGTTGTCCCTTCCAACTCGTAGATTCTAAAATAATTATATTTAAGAATAAGAACAATGATAGTCCACAAAAGTCCGTATAATTGTCTGGTTTCCTGTTTTGACAATTGTCGGGAAAATCCAACTTCAAAAATCAGACAAACTCATTTCGACTAACGGCAAAATTTCTCGTTAATTCGCAATTGAGTAGTGGATAAAACAGCAAGACTATAGCTCAATTGTATTCCCCGATGTCTCCAGATAAATTATTCTGCTGTATTAATGAAACAGACGCAAAATTGCAAATCCCATCAGCCGCGCCTGCCAACGCGTGGATGAGGCCAGGCTGTTTGAGGTAGCCCTGCGTGGCGCTCGTGAAAGGGCCCCCGCCGGTGCGCTGGTCCGGCATGACTGGCTGCTCAACCTTGTAGTCGGCCTGGCCTACGGCATTGTTTTATCGGCAAGATCAGGGCCACGGCGAACGTGTTAGTTTTCTGTAATTAATCCCAGAAGGTGAAACGAATTAATACGAATTTTGCCAATAAAGTTGAGACTACTGTGATTCAGTAAATTGAAAGAAGTACCATACTTTACACATTAAAGTTCCATTTTTATAAGAAACCTCTCTAGTCAGCGCATCATACTGGCGTTCATTTTGGGTTGAATTTGGTATGTACTCCTCTGACTGGAGTGTAGATGGAATTGAAACACCTTCAAAGGAGTTGTAAGTAGATTAGTAACTTTATTTGGCTAGAAAAACTCTCCGCCAAGGGCCTCAGTACACGCGCAAATGTTAAAGCAGACACCTTGGTCGCATTACGGTGTCCTACATCCCATAATTAGTTTACAGTGTGCTTGTCAATGTTGCGAGGGTAGAAAGTATTTTTAAAAAATAGTGTTAGAAATGCACTTTTCAAGCTCCATTAGCCTCAAAAAGCACAATACACTGTAACACTTTGCACTTTTGGTGCAATGTAAGGCCAACTACGATCCAATTTCCATTTGGCTGCAACAAAAATGCATACAAATTGTCAATCGTAGGGCAATGAATATTCTCCCTTCACCTCGAAATTCAAAGAACGTTAACCTTTCTTCATTAGCAGCCGAAGCAAATGGGAATTACCAAGGCAATTGTGCAGATGACCAGATGATGGATAAGCAAAAGCGATGCTGTATGGTTAAAGAAGCCTGACAAAGGGAATTGTGAAGATTACACCGTGTTTTCAAAACCATGAGCACGGTCCTCTCTCCCTTAATATCCTTACTTAAGTTTAAGGAGTAAGTATTTCGGTTGGACCGTAATTCCAGAAAAGCATGCACAAACAGTGCTTTTTTACTCTGCACCTGGTCTTAGGTCCGTAGCTATGATTACTTGATGATTGAATATGAACGGATGCGCCCTCTGATTTGTGCCTTTTACCAGTGCTGGTGACTTCGTGGTGGTAGACGGGGTTATTGAGCAGTCTGACGAGAGGCCTCAACCATGGACTCGAACGTGGCTTCATTTGATGCTCTGCTTCTTAAGAAACTTACGTAAACTGCAGAACTGCAGTAACATTTGGACAAAGTCCATTTGTGTGATAAGAGAGTGGACGTAATGCCTTTTCAAGATGGGCTAACCTCATTGCTGTGTCAAAAACTCTGATTTTCTACTCTTGCATAAACATATGCACTTTTCTGAAGTACTCCATCTCCTCTTGGGCACAAAGATGTTTATGGAAGTTGTAATAATATTTTCCGATTCTTTTTTACCAAATCTTTATTTTCATGCATTTTCAAAAAGTGCTGTTTACATTTCAACCTTGTGGTTTTAATTGATCGGAAATTCCGGAAAAAATTACTACAGTCTCTCTCCGATTACTTCTCTAGGATGGGATCAAGTAATCAAATATTTTTTGTGTAATTTTTAGGATGTGACATGATGCAGAAGTCGCACTTCTGTTCCTAATTTTAAGCTTAAGTGCTTTCTTTCGCCAGCTTACCTTACCTCTAGTTGAAGTGCCATCTTCGCTCATTCAACTGGACGACTAATGCGTAGTGATTTGTGACGCCCTCTTAGGAAGAACAAATAAGTTACTGGAACAATCTCATTAATTGCCACGAGTTAGGTGGTGCTCCTTCCAATTCTGCATTATCAGCATGCGTTTATCGCGTATTTACAAAAGCACACGGCTTGGAATGAATTGGTAGTAAATCGTGCCTTTTTGGGATTTTAGAGTGCGGGTACTTATTACTTCCTACTCTATGTATCAAGTCTACTTCAGCTATTTTTTTCCGTGCCTGCTGATGCTGTCTCACGGGTGGCTGTATTTGCGACCTGCACCGACTAGACTTTCAGACATTGGAGTTGAAAAGTGGCAAACCCAACATCAACAATAAAACGAGCTGTCTGGATCATGGATAGCCTCCAACGACGATGGTGCTACGCAGGAATGTCTTATTGACAACTTCAGTAGCGACATCACCACCACTTGATTCAAAAGTATCATGCCGTCACTGACACCACTGTCTCATCCACTCTCGTCTTGTGGAACCTCATTATCCTCTCACTAGTTTACGTAAGCATTTATTCAATGCTTCACCCAGGTACACTCGACGTCAAAGAATGCATAACTCCATCAATTTTGCCCTTTTCGCGAACAGAGCTTGCATTAGTTCGTGATGTGAGTTCAGTTTATTCTCCTGGAAACCCTTCTTTTGCACTTAATGCCTGTAACCTATTGAGTGACAACCCTTGAAGCATGTTTATTCGTTCAATTCAGTAAATGGATAGCACAACGGTTAAGAACGCCATTAATGAGCAGCATTTAACGGAACTTTGCTATTCCCAATTAAATGACTTAAAGGAGCACGCGATGTAATCGTTTATAATGAAGACTTGGGCACATCTCCTCCAAGGAGTCACTTGAATTAGAGATTTTTCCAAGAGATCCAGGTGTGTTGATTTTGATTAAGAAAATGATCGATGCGTTCTTAGACATAAATAGTGATCAGAACAACAGCAGAACAACCAAAAAATCCTATTCAAAGGTAAAAGTTGCCAAATGCGCACTCTCCTTGGTTCCCAGACCACTTCTGCAAGGAGGTACGAAGTCATGACAGTTTCTCATAGGTTTTGTCAACCGAAGCTATTTTGCATAGAAAAATGATTTGAACTTTGGGTTTGTTTCTGCTAGATTTACAAGAATTACGGAAGTTTAGGCGAAACATTACGTTAAAGAACTTCAAATTGGAACCTCCGTATTTCGCCAGTTTGTTAAAAAGCAGCCCAATACTACCAAACCAAAGGCTGACCAAGTTGAATGCCTTGTCCTTGCTTCAAAGTGCTCATTTATTAATGAACTGTTAATGGAGTTTAGCTACTAAATAAACAAGATCGATTTGCCGCAACAAAAGAACCGCAGACAAAGTGGGATGTCTCCAACGTCTACTTACATAACCCGCATCTCAAAAGTTTTTTCTAGTAGGTTCCAAAACTCATAAGTAAACATTTAAAAGTGAAAACAACGATTATTTTAGTTAATAGATAATGGCCGAAATTCGCGCACCACCAATTTATCCTACCAACAAAAATTCATCGATGATTAAGTTTCTACATAGCCATTGTTTCTGGTCAGCCTTCTGACGTTACCTTTTTGACAACATATTGCGAGTCCCTGAAGAGGAAGAGCTTTCAGCCTCATTTATCTATTCTCTCATGATATACACATGTATAAATGGCATAATTGTAAAATGCTTTATTGCTGTCAAAGATAATAGTTATCTTCTATGTTGGCTGACCAGGTGGGAACCCTTTGACTTCCACCTCCTCTCCATACGACCAGGCGTAAACACCAGGATAAAATGCTCTTGATCTTGGTATCCGAAGAATCATGGAAGGTGATCCAACCTTTAATTGGTCACACGTGTGAAAACTGGCGCTTCTAGTAATGCCTATCTCAGAAGTTCCACGAAGCAGTTTGTCAGGTCCGTAGTGGTTACTGAGGAACATACTATGCTGCCGCTGCTGTTGCTGCTGCAAGTGCTGAGAGGCAAAACTGAAGCTTATATCGGCCATAGAGTCACCCATTCCTGATACAGTGTCTGCAGAGGGGAGCTGAATAACAGAGGTAGTGTTCGTTGCAGCAGTGGTATTAATGTTACTACTAGTGGTCTCAACTAGAGTTTCCTTCCTCACGTGCTTTTGGTCTTCAACCAAGGTGTACATAGTCTGAGAATTTTCACTCAATGATTCACCTGTCTGCAGAGCAACCGACCTTTGAGGTGGATTGGCAGTAGGTAAGAAGACGCCGGTAGAAGAAGTAACCAAGGGATAGCCGTGTGGATAGAAGGATTGAGGCTGAATGGGAAAGTAAAAAAAAACATCACAAATGAAGCGAACAAGAGAATAGGTAGATCAAAAAGTCAAAAACTTCGAAATCAACTTCGACTCTCAAATGGTAGCTACCTCTTTGCTGTCTTATACATCCATCACAAAAGTAACTCAATCGTATTAAATTCGATTTTATTGGTGAAAAGCTTTCAAGAATTCATCTATGTACATCAGTAAGCTTGACTTCGGATTCTCGTAAATGCGGGTAATGGATTGTAACATATTTAAGTATAGTAAAGAGAAGAAATCAAAAAAGAATGTCAGGAAATCGCATTAACACACATTGTAACAAGTTTTACGCATAAGTTAACCGAAATTGTTTGAAGGTGAAAAACTGTATGAATAATTCTACCATCAATAGAGCCGTTATGTTTATAACAAATAAGACGCTTTTTGACATCCCGAAAATATTCGAGAGCTATGATCCCCCAAATTCTGTCCACCGGCCACACCCTACAGTGAGTTCGTTATCGTTCAAAAATACACTGTTCTTTCTAGATAATGGAACACTACTTAGCTTAACACTGTTTCCATCTACTTATCCCTGGTCGAAACGCGAATTCGGCCGTGCCATTGATTGATCGGCAAACAGCGCATCCCAGAGGAACCCGATTGGGTAGCCGCAGGACTGCGCAGTTAGCACGACTTATACTACAACAACAACAACAACGGAACAAACTTCTATGCATATTTGGCTGATGGTGAAACTCGTAGCGATCATTTCATAACTGGATAGCGGATATGAAGAGAGAAGTATTATAAAGTAGAAGTTCGTTCCAGCAGTTTGGAGTTTCATTCTCCACTACTTAGATCGCAAATGGGGTTCCCTAATTTGGGGATAATTATTAGCGAAAGGAACATGGAAAACATCGAAAACATAAGCGTCGTTTAATGCCAGCAATAAAGAGAAAAGTAAACCAAACCTGCATCTTAATTTCGCCGCTAGCCTCAGAGTTGGTAGCAAGCTTGTTGGTCTGGTACGGGCACTTTGGAGAACAAACGAGCACGAAATTTCTTTTTTTGCAAATACGTATAACTCATTGAAGTTGAAATTTGATAACATCTCTATGAGTTCAAAGTATGCAATAAAACGAAAAACGTTTACAAGTTAATGGTGCGCGCTGCGCAATCGCACGCGACCGTGCATGGCTGGCTAGAATCACATGCCACGCACCGCGTAATACCGTTTGTTGAGACCAATTGACAAAGTTTAGCAAGCAGGCAAAAATTTGTCGATTCAATGTAAGAATAAGGATTATTTGTACTTACGTGACCCATGCGACTAAGATCGGATGCACATGTTTTTAAATGCCTTTTGAGACCACAATAGCCCCACTTAAATTGGCATAAGTTAAATTCACAATTAATGAGAGCTTGAGTTTCTTACAATCGTGCTATGTTCTTAAGTAATTAAACTAAATTTCGATGTGCATGTAAGAAATATTGGGCCATATTTGATAGCATTCCTTAGAAGACCACAAAATCATTTTTGCATTTGAAAAGCAAGGTTCTTGAAAACGAAGAAGGAAAGTGAAGCAGTGATGGAAGCGTAGCAGGTAAAGGGGAATAATGCAAGCTCAAACCACATCATTTGGAAGGCTGAATAAAAGATTTTTGCCTAAATTGTTTGATTCGCTACCATCTCTGAATTTGGAAACTTACCACCCACGGCACCATCCACACAACATCTGGTGATGTGGTAGGAAATTCGAACGGCACCGACACTTGTGAACCATCTGATTTTTCCAAAGCGGGAGTTGCCGCGGTACTTGTGTTTTGCGGAGCCGCATAGCCTGGTGGCCAAGGCGCCAGAATCGGTCGCACTGGAAAGGGGATGAAAGCTGAGGATTGGATGGATGGGCCTGAGATTACAGAAGTGGCTGACGCAGGAGACATGAAGGCCGGTAGACAATAAAAGGGAAGAAAAGGTGCTTTTGGATTCGTTCCAATCTGGGGATGCTGCTGCTGCTGGGACTGAAAAAGAGGATACGGGGTCCATAGCGGTTGCACCGGTGGCGGTAGTGAATGAATTGTACTTGAACATTGAGAAGTCGAGGGCTCCTTCTTTCCTTGTTCATCCAGAGAAGTGATTGGCTGGTCAATTGGAGAGGTAGGGATGCAATTGGAGGAAACAGAGGAGGAGGAGGAGGTGCAAGACGTACAGGAGAATGTATTGGCTGAGCTATCACTTGTCGCGTTGGTATTTTCATTGTATGAAAGATGTTTCTGTGATTTTCCTGCACCTCTTACAGAGTATCGGGGCGGAGAGTCCTCAGAAGTCATCCGTAGCCCCGCAATAGTGAAAATGGACATGGCTAAAAGGAGAAACAACTCATATCATTAGATCGCTGAGTTGACCAGCTTCAATAACCTGGATTAAAGGAAGTACCCCTTACATATAGTGGTTGCGTGCCCGGATTCAAGGAGATGAACTACAGTGGGGCAATATTAAAAGACTTATTTTAAACTTTCGAAAAGAGCAGTTACGTAACTAAGCATAGCCGAATTGCCACTATGATGTGACAGGACAGGAGGGGATGACTTACTGTCAGGGAGGCAGGCGAGTTGAGCTGTAGGAAGAGAGACTGTGAAGTAGGGATGACGAAGAGCGGCGCGAGCAGTGATGCGTCGCTCAGGAGGCAGTTGAAGGAGGGCAGAAGCGAGAGCAGTAGCGTGTGCGATATGACCGAGCCGTGGCACCACGCGGTTTAGCGGTTTCCCTGTGTGCCATAGCAGGCCACACCCTCCTCTTCCCGACCGTCCTCTACACGCTCCGGTGGACAAACGCTGATGTGGCTGCTGCGACCGCGACTGCTGGTGGTGGTGATGGCTGTGGTGATGCTGATGATGATGTTGATGGGAATGGTGGTGACGATGGTGTCGACGATGGGATGAACTACCTAGCAAATTCTTGTACTTTGGTAGTTTTGAGACACCGGGCCATGTCTCCTCTGTGGGTGTGCCCATGTACTGCAAGGGATGAGGGAAAATAGCGGTTGGTATTACAGTCGATCCCACAAAGTAGGTTAATAACGATATTTTTGAATTTGTGTGAAAGCGCATTTGAGGTTAACACTGAAAACGCAGAAAAAAATTGTACAGTGATTGCAAAGGAGAGCTTTTGCAATCCCATTGGCATAAGTGAGTGGAAGTATTTTATGACATCATATGCGAATCCCTCACGCATCCTTCTCAATGAGAAAAAAATAATGAAGTACGAATTACAACTGTTAAAGATGATGCTAAGTGAATAACTTTTCTGAAGATTCTGCTTAAAAGAATTACATTGTTATTGTTTGTTAGCATGCACAGTTGAGTGAAGAGTCGAGAAAAAATCGGAGATTGTAGCTTCAGAGCTCAGTTATTTTAACGATAGAAATGGCAATATTTTGTACATTGAGTGATTTAGCGTGTGATAATGTAAGCAACGGCTGCGAAATGGATAGAATCCAGCAGAGCATGCAACCATTGAGCACTAGGGTTTCCTCGTGCGAACTAGAACGAGGCATTTCAAACGCCCTGCAAACGGTATTAAGGAACCAAGTCCGCATGAGTCACTGGGTGGAGGCGTCCGCGTGACCACGCCCATGCTGATCGCCCATTGGACGGAGGCGGCAGTGCAAGGCACAGACACCAGACGCTCTCATCCACATGCAACCGAATTTGCTGACCGTCGCACAGGGTCAGCGTGTTGTGAGTTAGCCGGGCGAATAAGGTAGAGTGTCCTAAACCCCTACTTTCAATCAGTTTTTGTGTTAGCAGTTCAGGTAGCAAGTTTTTGTGCCGGACTTGTACGATGCTTGTGGTCTAAGACGAAGGAACTTCAAACGCTTTCGTGCAAAGCTTGAATTCTGAGATCCAACTGTCTCGGCTGATGAGGTGAATGCAGAAATGTGCCTTAATCCGTACACTGACATCCAAATATCCAACGGTCATTATTGCTCATAGGTTAAAAGATATTATCAAGATATGAAGAACATTGACAAAAGAATGTACACACGTCAACGCAAGACGTTGCTACTATATGGCTATTGAAATAAGAAAATTGCTGGCTAGTGAGCTTGTATGGACTCAACTTGCCACGATAAATTTTTCATAACGGCTTGATTCGGTTTAACGTACATGAGGAAGCAGTCATTTGGCTATTCGGGACTGCAGAACAAGTAACGTAATTCTTGTATGATTGGTTAAGTGAAACTATTGTAGAATTTACTTCGAAAAGGAAACATTAATGAACCTTTAACATTCTTCTCGGCGTTATAACAAAATACACCTGGGGTATTAGAGACAGAAAATTTTTTGATGATAAACTGGCGACAAATATCGTGATATAGGTAAATCATAAGCAAATGTCGTTAGTGAGGAAATAATGGAGAAATATAAGTAGGGTAGCACAATCACACGCACCAGGATTTGTTTCGAAATGTGGTGGATTGAAAGAGACAACAGCTTTGTGATATCCCAACGACACGAATACAAGGGAGGTAAGCTAGGACTATAACTCATTGTGAAGGGATAGGAGATGAAAGAGAATGTATCATCGCAACGCACCCTGAAAATCTTATCCAGCTGATCTACGGCATCTGCCACACCTGGAAAAGTAGCGTCGCCGGAAAGCATCTCCAAGAATATGCATCCGACGCCCCTGCAGTGTAAAAGTACAAAAGTGTTACAAACCAAATATATTCCATAACGGTGTGGGTAGGGACGCTTATTTCGAAAACCACCTGCAATATTGTATGCAAGTTTTCACCTTTCAAGGAACTCATTTTGGTGCTTGCTAAATCTGCATACTTGCTTACGAATGCAGCGTCATTTTATTTCAAGGATTCAGTCAGTGGCTCATAAGCGTGATAGCACTTTAGCTTTCGACACTACGAAATTGCGACTTCAATTACCATTGTTTGAATCCTGGCCTAAAATAAGATAGGTTTACCCCTTTCAGACCACTCATTCGTACGCACACAGTTCCAAACAGCATAGAAAACACTTTGGTCTTGTGACAAATGAAATGTAGGTGTGCTACTTCGTAGGGCCTCTTATCTGCGTACGAACGTCTTTGTTGTCAAACTACTTCGTCCGAGGCGCTAGACGCAAGCACGCTAGGAGTAGGTGAGTGTGATACAATTAATCTTACAGACTCGTCCAGATTTCCACATGGACGAGCAGTACTGATTTCATCTTCGTGTGTATGTATGCTCACACTACAAAGGCAGTTCCACTTTTTTTTACATAGCGTACAATAAAATGTTTCGCAAATACAGGAAGCACGAGGCATTAGCAACTATATGTCATCCCGCAAACATTTCACTAATCCCTTATCTTAAGGTTTTAGTTTGCCATTAATAATAGCTTAGATGGGTTCCTTATCAATAAAGGATGTTTGCATATCTGACATAAGTTGAAAATAAACATTTTAAGCTGGACATGATCCTTTCAAAGCTTATTGCAAAGCACTTGCTTTTCCTTAATTTCTCCAATGACAAGCAATGTTTTGAAGGAGGCTCATCAGTAATAACAACATTGCTACCTAAGGTGTACTTTGTGCTAAAATAGCACTGGCATGATGGAATTGTGAAGCTGAAGAAACGCGTGCACAAGTTCCTTTCGTTATTCAAGTGTTCAAGTCTCTTAAAACGGCCCCTTTTTGTCGTGAAAGCATGAGGTCTGTTCCCGGCCTCGCCATCGGTTGACCAGTGTTTGCCACCTCGCGACTAAGGGAATGGGGGAAGCATTCGGTATGTGGAGAATAGGCCACTTACCACATATCGAGAGAAGCAGTGTAGTTTGTAGAACCCAATAAAACATCGGGAGGTCGGTACCAGAGTGTGACGACCTCATGGCTGTAGGTATGGCTTGGAACCGACTTAGCTCGAGCCAGGCCGAAGTCAGCCAATTTGAGTTCGCCATTTGCCGACACAAGAATATTCTGAGGCTTTAGATCACGATGTAGTATCCTACGGTCATGACAATATGCCAGACCACGCAGTAGCTGGTAGAGAAGTAACTAAAAGCGATATTAAAGCAGACTAAAATTCGATATTTTTACGAAACTCCTTTGATTGACAACTTGGCAGGAGTTAACACATTCCCCCTCATAAGCATCAACATTTTCATGGTCAGCGACTGGGCTGAAAGCCTTCCAACAATCAAAAAGGGAACTACTTTTAAGAGCTAAATTATCACTAGCGTTTCTTCATTTTAGCTGCCTTACGTATCTAAATAACCATACGTTTACGGAAACCATTTACCCCTTCCTATTTCATAAGGAATTCGAATGAAATGATTAAGTCTGCCGAGTTTTAATTTAAATTTTTACTTATTTTTTAAAAGAGGCAAAATTCCAAACAATGGGAGCAAAAACGAAGTGATTGAGTAAATGCGCTAGAGGTAGAAAGCGTTCCCTCCTCCTACAACGATGACATAGATAAGCATAAAAATATTCGTATTCGTAAAGCAAGAAACGAACGAATGCAAATAAGATATTTTGGATAGTGTCGTCTCGAGATTAACACCTTCTCTTCCATGGGAGAAAAATTGTTCTGTTCTTTAACTCGAACTTCTAAAAAACCGATTGGCAGCATTCCAATTCGCTAAATTATAAACCAGCAAGCGATATGCGATTAGCTCTCACCTGTACATTTTGGGGTTTGAGACCCTTAGGGTTTTTCTCCATCAGTCGGCTCAAATCAGAGTCCTGTGAAGTTAGAAAATGCACAAGGTGAATGCTTGCAAAAATACTCCCGTGAAAAAGGAAAAGAACTTATTTTCTATTCCAAAGTTGTACGGAAGTGAAACGACCGCAGTTTTTGAGATACGGATATTAGTGCCAAAGGATGCTGACTGTGACTACTACTTCCGCGTACATAAGCAAAATTGATGTTTTGACAAAAAAATTAAATGAGGACAGACGTCCCCAACCAGAAGGATCTGTGAAACGACTGACCGTTTTGGTTGACCGATTGTTTAGGGTTCGTACAAAGCATAAACATTCGCTAATTTTCTCAATAATTTGCGTCGACGCACTTAAATCAAGGCATCATAAGTGGGAATAGCTTGTTCAATGCAATATGATAATTCGTTTAGGGAACCAATACGTACCGAATTCCGCAAAGTACATAAAAAATTTACTTTGTTATGACAAAATCAAACTATGAATAACGTTTTTTTTCACTAGAATAAATTGCATAGCATCTTAGCTGAATAAGAAAGTGGAGGTGGGTTAAAGTTGTGATGCAAGTAGGAAACGAGACTTTGCACTTGAAGACTTACTACGTATTCAAAGACGAAATTGAGAGTGAGTTTTGTATGTACAATGTCATGGAGAGTGACAATATTTGCATGACGCAGGGACTTCAGCAATGAGGCTAGAACCAA